CCAATATATACCTACGACTGCCCGCCTTACACCCGTTGGCCATATATCATTGTCGCCGGCCGCATTCCACTGCCCATCGCACGCCACAGCCGGCCTCTCCCATGTTGTCACCATTTCAAACTTTACTATATATTCACTACTTCTAACCAAACAAATAAATCATTCGCTTGCATTCACATGCAATATTCATCCAAACATTAACATGTATTCATCTAAACAACTTCAAAGCATATATTTTCCACCCAATGAAATAGCTCCTAAATAAAAAATTGACAGCATTGTTACAAAAATTGTAATATTAATTTTCTTTGTAGAATTCAAAAGTTTGAAAAGCTTTTGAATTAAGAAGGTTGGATCAGGCTATTCTATATTTGAGGTTTGATTAACATATTACAAAAAAGTCCTCATTTTTGTTGTTGCTTTTTTGCATAAAATCCTATTAAAAAAATTAAAAGGAAGATCAAATTCAATGATTTGAAATTGTATGCCACATCACTTAGTTTTTATCCTATTTAATATATGTTAATTTAAGCATGTGAATAAATTTTAAAAAATTTGCCAAAATCATATTTTACAAAAAAAATATACATTTTCTTTGCTTTCATGCAAAATTGCATTTTCACAGAATCATGTAACTTAGATTTTATGTAATCATCAAATCTCTACTTTCACTCTAAGTGGAAACCATTTATACAGATCATAAAGGGATTAAAGTTTAATCTTAAAACATTAAAATATTTGTAGTGCCAAATGATGACTCAAAGGCATGAAAAATAATATAAAATAAACAAAAAATATAATATGAGAATAATAATTTGAAGGTAAATTATGTGTGAAGGAAGGGTTGGGTGGTTTATATATAATATATATATTATATCACAAAGTGGGTGGTTATAAGATTGCACATATCTTAGGATAATCAATACAATCTAAGATAATATAAATTTAAATATTATTAGATCCTATATGTCATTACCTAACCACAATTTGTAATGATGATATGATTTTGTTGGATAATATCAATAGGAAAGTATTTGAATTTATCAATTATTTAATGTGCCAACTTCAGCACTATAGAAATGAGCTACAAATTTAAATATAAAAGTGAATCTAAAATAAGAAAATTATTGTAAGAACTTAATAACAAACCAAATAAACACATAAATTTACGAGGAAAGATATAGGATGCAAAATTTATAGCTTTTAATGATTTATATAATATATTAGATACTAATGATAGTGAAAGATAATAAGTTAGCTAAAAAAAAGGATATAAGTAGTACGGATTTAGTTTAAGTGAAGTTCATTAAAGATGGAAATTGAAAAGTGTTTTATTAGAAGAGGATATTCAACAAAGGTGGATGAGATATTTTCTAAGCTTTTCAATGAAGATTGTAAGAATACGATTGACTTTAGTGACCTTAATAATTTAAATGAAAACATAAATTTTTGTTTTTATAGACATATTAGTAAAACTGAAATTAGTGAGGCTTCAATGAAAATGAAGTGTGAAAAAGCTATTGGATGAAAATATATTTTAATAGTGGTGTGGAAATGCTTAGGAGATAAAGGAATTTCTTAGCTTACTAAGTTTTTTTTTTAATATTATTTGAAGAATAAAATGATGTTAGATGGGTGGAGAATGAAAGTATTGTTTCTTATTTCTAAGAATAAAGGTGATATATAAGATTGTGCAAATTATAAAGGAATTAAGTTAATGTATCATACTTTAAAATATGGGAGAGAGTTATGGAGTTTAGGTTATAATGTGATACTAATATTTCTCAAAATCAATTTGGATTCATGTCAAGTAGGCCTACTGTGGAAGTTATACATACATTTATTGATAGGTTTGATGGTGATTTATAGAGAGAATACGGAGGAAAAAAAAAAATAGAGAGAATACGGAGGATCTATATATGATATTTATTGATTTAGATAAAACATGCGGCAAAGTTTCAAAAATAATGCTATAGAGAGTTCTAGAAATAAAAGAGATTAATAATGCTTATATTCAAGTCATTAATGATATGTAAATATGCAGGAGCTGCTACTTTTGCTCAAATTCATTTTTATTTGACCAAGTATTTTTCAATATCACTTGGATTACATCAAGGATCAGCCTTAAGCCCATATCATTTTGCTTTAGACATAGTTGTTCTTGCTAGACATTTGCAATAGGTTGTACCCTGGTGTATGTTTTTTGATAATGTTATTATTCTTGTTGATATATATGAAGAGAGAGAGAGAGAGAGAGAGAGAGAGAGAGAGAGAGAGAGAGAGAGAGAGAGAGAGAGAGTTGAAGTTAAACTTGAATTATGGAGGTCAACCTTAGAGTCTAAAGATTTTCGTTTAAGTAGATCTAAAACCAAATATACGGAGAATACTTTTAGTAGTAATAGATATAGTGGGGGATTATGACGTTAGGAATTGAGTCATAAATAAGAGTACACCTTTTAGATATCTTGGGACTATTATTCTACGTGATGGTGAAATAGATCGGGACATTATTAATAGAATTCAAGTTGGATGGTTAAAGTGGAGGATTGCGTTGAGATTTTTGTGTGATAGAAAATTAAAGTCCCCTAGCTCAAACTTAAGGAAATATTCTTTAAGATGGTGGTGAAATTTAATTACAATGCGTTATTGCGTAGAATGTTGGCCATCAAAAGAGAAGCATAATATTAAGTTAAGTGTTGCAAAGATGAGGATGCTTATAGGTTGATGAGTGGATTTACTCTTTGAGAGAGGATATGAAACGAGCATATACTTGAAAAGGTTGGAGTAGCTCTAGTGGAAGATAAGCTTAGAGAGAGTCGCCTAGATGGTTTGATCACATAAAACGGCGGCCTCCCAATGACTTGGTTAGAAGAGTAGATGTATTATTAGATTTGACTTATATTAAGAAAGGTAGAGGCATACCTAAAAAGGCTTGGTTATAAAATATTAGAAATGTCTTTTTTTATTAGATTTAAATGAGAAATTGACTCTTAATATTACATAACGGAGAAAAAAAGAATCATATAGCTGATCTCATGTAGTGGGATAAATACTTGATGTTTTTATTGTTGTTGTTGAACCATAATTTTAATACAAGATAGTATATAATCATAATAGATATAACACAATAATCAATAACTTTGATAAATCATAATATAACCATAATAACTATTATATGTTACAATTAAATTTTTCATTATATTCCTCAAGTTACTAATGTCTGTTATAGCCAGTTGGTAACAACTGAGACAATCTTTTTCCATTTAGTATAGAATTTAGGAAACTCACTATGAAGTGACAATCATATCTCACATCTTGAAAGTTGTTGAATCATGTATTATTTTTTATTAAAGTTTGAATTTTCTCAACCCTTCTAATGTGATTAAGGCTTCGTTTAAGACAACTTTCTTACTGATTTCTACGAAAAAACTTTTAATTAAAATATTTTATTCTAAAAAACTATTTTAAAAAATAGTAAGAAAGGTTTTCCAAAGAAAGCCTAAAAGCATCAAAATATTTAATAACTTTATCCATTATAGCTAGCCCCAACTTTATTTGAGGCACAAGCAATGTAATGCATATCTATATGTATGATTAGATTTAACACCCGCATGCATAGTAAATTAACTTGAATGAATCAATTACATCCAATAATATATCTCAAACTTAAAACATATGGTACAAAAATATTAAAACTTGTTCGAGCAAGTTTTAAATTATATTTGAACACAATTAGAACTTGGTATGAATAAGGTCCAAACATGATACAAATAATGTCTAAATATTGTTCAAATTTAATTGAAATTTGATTTGAACTAAGTTCAACTATAGTTGTAATAGTTAATATGTTATCTAATGTGTTTCAAGATTTAGGTTTATTGTATGAGCACAATTCGAATATCTTATTATAACCTAATTGATTTTTTATACTCAGGGTTCTATTTATGTCTTATTGTAAGCTACAAACCAATGCGATGGGTTAGAGGAGGACAAGGTTTTGCCTGATGGGGAAGATACTATGGAGCCAAAATTGGCTATTTCCAAAAACAGTGTTAAGCGTAGTACAAGCAAATCCAAAAAGAAATGATTTTTCTTTTTGGCGTATCTCTTTTTTCCTTTGTTGGTTGTTACTGATTTTGGCTTTTTGGCGGCATCGGTTTTGGCTTAAGACTACGATGAAGCAGGTTTCCTGTAAGCCCCTTGGACGGTCATGACTTCGTTGGCAACCTATGTGGTTATGTGGTATTTTGGTTGTTTGCTTTTTCCCTCCTTGGATGGTCCCAAGCTTGGCAACTAGGGGCGGTCTGAGTCCTATTGGCTGGGGAATTTTCATTAAGACTAGTTGGCACGATCGTTTATTGTACTCCTCTTGATGTAATTTACATCTATGTGACCATTTTTTGGTCTTGCGCTATATTGTTCTTACTATTTAATGCATTTATTTTTTTCTTTAAAAAAAAGCTACAAATGACTTCAATTTTTTTATAACCTCTGTTAAGATGGAATATGTTTCAAATATAAATAATCAAAAGTAAAACATTATTAAGTTTGAATAAAAGATGATTTGAATATAGTAATTATCACTATAAAGTTTTATAGTAAACTTATCACAAGAGCTCTAAAATTATCAAAAAGAAAGAAGATGCTATAAAGAAAAATATTCAAGCATCATTATTGTTAAAAAATTTACGCCTCTCTTCACCTGATAAAATTATTACATGCGATCACTGGATGTCGTCCGAAGGTTAATCAGGAAGTGCCAAGTCACCAATATATTGTTCATCGTTACTGTGTATTGCCATGTATCAGATGACATGATATGTCCTAATGGACTTCCGGACAATCCGATGACCGCATGTAATAATATCTCTTTCATCTGAAAGTTAGAATTCAAATTTTTATATTTGACAAATTTACCTAATAAAACTAACGGGAACATATTTGACCAAACAGCTTTGTTATTTAATAAGTCAAAATTTCTAAACTATATCGGTCATTGACCGATTGTCCACTGTGTTAAAGCGACAGAGGTTTTGCGCGCCAAAACACGCAAAGAAGCCTCGAGTTTCTTTCATGGCGATAAGGATAGCGGAGGAGTCGATGTAGATGGCATCGCTCTCTTCACATCTAGACGAAGACGTGAGTGCTTTTCTTCTTTCTTATATTTCCCCGCTTCGGTTCCCTCTTTCTGCAAAACCCTAGTTTTGCACACATCCGACGAGGTTTCTTTATTTCCCGCAGGACTTCGACTGGGAGGCGGCCGTTCGTGAGATTGACTCTGCCTGCGAATCAGCCATTCCTTCCACCACGAATGGGGAGGTGCTTACACCAATCCCTCCACCCATTGGGCCATCCAGCTCTGTCGCCAGTGCTGGTGGAGTTTGCCCTATGCCGGGGGTGCCACTCTGCCGGGCGCGGCAGTCCACGCTTGATAGATACGTGAACAGTTTTGCGAAAGAAAAGAGTAAAGTCTGCTTCCAAGGGAACGTAGCAGAGGCCCATTGTGTGAGAGATGATGCTTCTGAAGCAGAAGATGGAACTCCATCAGTTAGCATTGATCTTGAAGCTGCAAAAACCTGGATTTATCCAGGTGCGTTTTTGTTATCATTATTTCTTCTAATTTATAGTGCCATAATTTAATTTAGTTGAAATAATACGGGCATTTGGTATCAATCACTATCAATATGATGCCCATGAGCCTAACCTTGGATGGAAAAAATAAATCTTAAAGAGCGCAAGCTGGTTGTATTCAACCACTTGGAATGTTTCTTTATCCAAAATTGCGTCGGAGCACACACTTGTTCATATTCAAAGCTCTTTTATGGTTTGTAAATAGCAGAATTTAGAAATTTACAAGATTGTTTCTCATGATCTCACCTTTAAGAGAATACTGATACAAAATATCGAACATTTCTCATATTTTATCTGATTTCTCCTTTTTTGCAGTTAATATCCCCCTTCGTGATTACCAATTTGCAATTGTTAAAAATGCCCTATTTTCAAATACACTGGTCGCATTACCAACTGGTCTTGGCAAGACTCTCATTGCTGCTGTTGTAATGTATAACTACTTTAGATGGTTTCCTAAAGGCAAGTGGTTTCTAATGTCTTTTTAAATCTTTACCCATAACATCCTAAATCATATTTCTACATACGCTGCATATCTGGAACTCAATAACCGCCCTAAATAATTTACTCTTAAGGTAGCTTTATCAAAACATTTGGTCCTAGGCAGTTTTTTGAGAGAACTGTCATTAATGCCATTGTTTTACTGGCAATGCATTTACTAATTTCATTTCTCTCGTACTTTGAACAAATTAATGATTTAGTTAAATTTGTTAAATCCTTCATAGATTGTTCAAATAATTACAAAATTGACAGGTAAAATTGTCTTTGCTGCTCCTTCACGGCCTCTTGTGATGCAGCAGATCGAAGCATGTCATAACATTGTTGGGATCCCTCAGGTACTGAAGCTGTTGGGCTTATCTGGGCGATTTAAATGTACAAACGTTGATATATCAGGAAGATGTTTACTATTTTTTTAGCACGTTAAGAATATGACTAGCTGATTGCAGGAGTGGACAATTGATATGACAGGTCAGATGAGTCCTCCAAAGCGGTCAAGATTTTGGAAAGCTAAAAGAGTCTTCTTTGTCACCCCACAAGTGTTTGAAAAGGACATTCAATCTGGTGCATGTTTTATTCTATGCATGTCAACAAAATTTCCCAACTTGAGCAGCAAAGATATTGTCATGCTGTGAAGTAGCTTATTATTTCTGGGATTGTCATTGCATGATTATTTATTTTTCTGAAAATCCTCACGGAAACTGTAGATGGTTCCTTTTTCACATACCACATTAGTTCATAAGGATAGATGGTTGAAATTCACTTAACATTTAACTTTTCTAGATGCTAGTCAAATTATTCTTTACAGTTTTCTCGTATTTTGTACGGATTTTTCTTACATTCCTGACCGCCGGTATATCCAAGTCAGTGAAGTTATTTGCTTGTCTTTTAAGGCTGTGTTTGAATGGTACGAGTTTGAGCAAAATTAAATTAAAAGAAGTTTATAAAGTTAAATTAATGGCTGCTGATTCATAAACAACTCATACATTTTTGGAAATTCATTTTTTGTGTGCGTTCAGATTTTTTCACTGATACATGTGCCTATATAGATAAAATGTGTAGGAAATTATGGAAAATTAAATAGGAGATTATCTCCACTTATGATGATATATTGCAATAATAAAGATAAAATATTTAAGCATTAAGATCTTTAATGGAAAATTTTCCTTAATAAGACTCTCTTAAAGTTGGAGCATATATATCAATGAGTTACTACTTGCTACAAAGATTGGAGAAATGAGAGGTCCTAGAACCTTAGTAAAAATGATGACTGTTGTGCTATGCACTTGTAATAACATATAGCTAGCACGTGCTATTTTCATTTCTATGATTTAGGTTTGAAAATAAAATTAATATTGTTTATATTTTATTTATTATTTTAATCAAAGTTTATTAGGGCATCTGGAAGTTGATTGTACATTTGAGGCATACAATTGGCTTAGACAAACACATATGAGGTCGAAGCTAGCAGGTGACGTGGCGAACCTATCATGCTCTTGGTTTCAACACTAACATGTGGCCATTCATCCTCTTTGCTTGGAAGATTGGGCTCGACAATAACACGTGAGCCTTTCACGCTCTCAGCTTTACCATAGGAGGTTGGTGCTCTAGGCAAGTGAGCGCACAATAGGGCTAATGCCATATATGTGTGTGTGCTTGCAACAAGGCAAGTACGAGTGTCAAGGGAGATCACATATTAGTATGAAGCAACAAGGAGACTAGTAAGGTAGGTGGGGATGGGCTATGGTGTGGGTTAGTCCGCTAGGTATCAAGCATGGCTTATCATGATACTATATATTAAATTATCAAAACTTCATGATTGATTGTAATTCCAATACACATGTCTATATATACGTAAATGGTAAATACATGAGATAAACTCAGAAGAAAATGAAAAATTAAAGAAGAGAATATCCCTAATTATGATGACATATAATAATAAAGGCAAATTTAAGTCTTCATTCTGTAAGTCAATAGAGATTTCAATAAAATCTCTATGATAACATATTTAAATTTGAATTAATAAATGTATGAATTTATGCATTTATATATATGAATCTATATATTTTTGAGAGTATGTATGTATAGAAGACCAAGATTAGGGTTTAATTGAGTTGAGCCAACATGAGCACACCTGAGAGTGGACTTGGCTTGCTCATGCTACAAATTGTTCATGTTCGGCTCAAGCTCAAGCTTAGCATTCACATATATGTTCATACTTGACTTGTTTAAAGTTTTCTATAATCAAACTTGACTTGTACTTGTCAAAATTAATCAAATGAACATTTAGGTGAGCTAATATACAAGCTAAAGAATTGAATGAATACTTTGCTTCTTATATTATACATAATTTTATGAGTCTAAATGAACAAACAATTCAATTGCTTTGGAATTGGTATCTAATTACTTGATATCCATTCATAAACAAACATTTTTGCAATCATACAATATAGGCAAGTACTAGCAAATTTGTTCTTTGAAATAGAGAAATAAATATGGATTGCATTTTATCAATATACAAATTCATTAATAATGGATTAATTAATTTGAAAAAAATTAAGGTAAAAAATATTTATTTGGATAAATCCATTATGTGGAAAGTAAGCTTATACAAATTTCTCAAAAAGATTGAAATCTTATAGGAGTCAAGAGAATTTACTACAACTAACAAAGTCAACACAGAATCAAATACTTCATATTCACTAGATAGGAAATTTTACACATTTGAAAAAATGTTATTTTTGGATAGCATTTATCAAATCAAAATTGTTTTTGAAGTAAGTTAATATCGACAACATCCATTCAAAGTTTCCTAAATCACTATGCATGTCATTTTTAATATATAACTCAATAGTTATTCTTTCCTAAGATATTTCACTTTTTATCATATTTATAACCATTTTTCTACACACTCAAAAGTCAGAAAGTTCTTAAACAAATTGAAACTAGAATAAGATATTCTTTTCAAAAGTAGCTATCAAGAAAAATATGCAATCACGTTGATAAAATGAGGTACCTTACAACCAAAGTCTCTATACTAAATAATTTATTTATTTATTTCATGTGCCTCACTCTATGTGTGTGCTCACATGAGTCGATACCGTCAATTGGTAACCATCACTTTTGATGCATCCTTGGGTGATAATGTAACTGGGGAGACTGAAAGCGATAGAACTCAGAACTTAGAACAAGAAACAAAAAAGAAAAAAAAAGCAATGAGAGGCAAAAATAATGAATAAAACAAAAAATGAGAAAGTTACATTTGAGTAATAAATAAATTTATAACATGTATTATATTAAATAATAAATAAATAATTATATTTAGAATTTTAATTAAATAAATATATAACTATATTGAGTTTGAATGTGACTTCAACATCAGGCTTTTTATTCCCACTAGACGTGGGGTCCGGCTACATGAATCCTTTTTCTCCAATTGTGTCCTACTTAAAAGTAAATTCTCGTTATAATCTAACAAAGAAAGGTCATAATCATAATATTCTTTCTAGACAAGACTTTTTAAGGTCTGACTCTACCTTTCTTAACAAAGTTAAATCTATAACATCTACTTGCCTAACTGGGTCATTGGAAGGCCCGTCCTTGTTTATATGTGACCAAAACATCTAAGGCGATCTCTGCTAATCTTTAACTTCTATGGAGCTACTCCCGATCCTTTTCACGTATATGCTCATATTTCGTATCCTATTACTTAAGGCGTATAAAGCCAACTCATCCACCATGAACATCCTCATTCTGCTCACACCTTAACTTAGTATATTATGCTTCTCTTTTTAATGCCACATTTGGCACCATAAGCTTATGCAAGGCCTCACCAGCATCTATAGATTTTCCCTTAGTTGAAGGGGTGACTTTTCTACCTGATCACACAACGAAGCCGAATGCATCTCCTTCACCACTTAATCAACAATCACCAACTTGAATTTCTCACTGATAATATCTCCCAATTACCTATTTTCACTAACAAATCACTTCTCGAACAATAAGATTCATAGATATCTAAATATGTGTACTCTTATTAATGACTTGATTGCCCAAAGTCACAACCCCCTCACTAAGTCTATTACTACTGAAATTACACTCCATATATTCCGTTCTAGATCTACTCAAGCGAAAACCTTTAGACTCTAAGGTTGACCTCCATAATTCAAGTTTACCTTCAACTCCCTCTCTAGTCTTATCAACAAGAAGAATATCCTCTTGCAAATGTCTAGTGAGAACGTCCATGACTAAAGCAAAAATATATGGGCTTAAGGCTGATCCTTGATGTAACCCAACTGAAATAGGGAAATACTTGGTCAAACCACCTTGTGTTTGAACACAAGTAATAGCTCATGCATACATATCTTTAATGATTTGAATATAAGCGTTATTAACTCCTTTCTTTTCAAGAACTCTCCATAGCACTTCTCTGGGAACAATTTACTAGTTGCACAATAAACAAGCTTGTTTGTGATGTGAAACATGTAGGAGTTACTTGAGAAATTATAACGATTAATTGACCAAAATGTGCCACTATAGAATTATTGCTTACAAAATAATAGATTTCAAAATTCAAAATTTTTAACTTGCTTAGGCAAAGAAGTGCTATTGAGATTAGCCAAACAATTTAATCAAAAATCCAAAGACAATAGTAAATGTTACATGCTCATAACATAACCCAATACTTAATAACGAGAAGTTCACCTTGAGTACCTTCTCACTGTTCCACTCTTAGGCTTTAGCGGAGAAAGACGAAACATATAAGGAAGGATATTACCATTATGAAGATGGCGCTGATGACCTTAGTTGATGGAGAAGTAGCCGATGATGGAGGCGGTGGTGGGTGACCGATATGAGCCAAGGCGTCTTGGGTTTTTGAAGATCAATCGTCTCCGCTAAATAGTAGAGGATGCGATTGATGTAGTCTTCCACCGATTCGTCGTACTCCCCGTCGGGCTCGTAGAAAGGGGAGCGAAGAATGTCGATTTTCCCTAGGGCATTGTAAGCGAGGCCGTGATCGACCTCAGGATCGTCCATGCACCAATGAGGATGAGAGAGGAGAGAGTACAAGTAGGGAGAAGGAGAGAAGATGGTGGTGGAGAGGGAGGCCGGCGGCTTGGGTAGGGGGAGATGGGTGGGACGGCTTGAGGAAGAGGGGGAGGCGGCTAGGGTTTGAATTAGGAAGAGTTTGGGATTAGATAATCTGAATTTAATTTCAGTTTAAGTGAATTTGGAGGGAAACATTTTGAAATTAAATTCAAATTTCAAATAGGGCTTAGGGATTAAGTGGGAAATTAATGGGTGAAGCCCATCATGGGGCCGACGGCTTTATGAGGGGGTGGAGGGGATTGGGGAGAGAATTATTAGCTTCCAAACAAGTCTTTGTAAATTAGGAGAGCTAATATTAAATCCAATCAAATTTAATTTCAAATTGGACTCATGATTATATACTTTCCTTATTTAGACTTTTTTAATATGGAAAGTATTTGAAATTCAAATGAATTCAAATATTTCCTTTACTTGTTTGAGCCAATCTAGGGAATCATTATGATGATTGGCATTATCATAATGATGGGGAGCAATGAGGTGGCCGACGACAAGGGGAAGAGGGAGGGATTGGCGCCGGGTTGGGGTGGGGAGAGGGATTAAGCCGGCGGGTGGGGTTTTGGTGGTGGAGTTATGGGGTGATTTGGGAAGGGGAAGATGGCCGGCGGTGGAGGCTAGGGAAGTAGATGGGTGGGGTGGGGGAAAGGTGGAGAAGATTAAAAGAAAATAGAAAGAAACCACGAGCCGCAGACTCTTCCAACGATTGGTGGGTATTGCGCTTGCTCACCTTGAGCTCTTTCTCCCTTCTCTCTAGTGCACTCACAAGAAGAAGAAGAAGACAAAATAAAATATCATATCATTCATCATCCCATACAATGCAATAGGTCTCCTATAAATAGGTCCAAAGGAAAGAAAAACCGAAAAGACTAAAGTGCCCTCGGGCTACAACACAGACTCAATTCCCCATAGGGGTAAAATGGGAAAACTCAAATGCAACATAATACATAGAATAAAAAATACATAAAAAAAGACAGACTCTGAATCGTAGCCATCGATCTACGATTCCCGATGATACACATGTCTGAATCCCTGGTAGATGTCCTCATCAGTTTGTCAATAAAAATAAATGAGTTATATTGTATTCGAGTTTGGTTCATTTTGTTTTGTCAGTTTAAAAAAAAAATATTCAAACTTATTTACTTACTAGTAACTTGAACAAAAATGAATAAGTATTAATCTAGTTTAAACTATTCATTGAGTGCATTAGTTTACTTGAAGTCTTAACTAAAAATGCCTTGGGAGATTGTAGATTATTTGAAATTGGAATGGCCTGTGGCATGGATCAATAAGATCAAATCAAAATTAATTGGTCATACCTAACTCAAATTGAGATCAAATTGAGACAGGTTTAATCAAACTTGACGTGATTTGAGATCAAATTTAATGAATTTGAGATGATCTTGAGCTAGGGTTGAATTGTCTTGCAAGTGTACTATCAATGACCCTATTTTTTAATAATTTGACAATTTGGATGCTTGTATTTTCATACAAGAAGTTCTCAAGAGTTGACATTCAAAATTATTTTATGAATGACATAAATCGGCGCCTACTTATGTAAGGTTTAAGAAGTAGATGAGTTGTTTTCTCTTTCTATTGATAAGTTCGAACATTCTTGAATCCCAAGTTTATTTTTCATATTGTAATTGCATCTGCCATGCAATATATTGTATTGTGGCCTGGCATGTTACTTTACTAATCCCCAAAATCATGGTAGTAGTGAATTGACTTGTTATTTAAGTTCAATGACTGCTACGCCAACTTTTTCACCCTTAGCGTAATCATTATATACCTTTTAATCCTTTTTATTATAGAAATGTTCTCAACTTTGATGCTAATCTTTATTCATGCCTTTTATTTATTTATTTATTCCGAGCAGAGACTACAACCCTTTTATTTCCAATCCTTTTATCTATTTAGATATTTCCACCCTTTTTACTGTTGATATCAAAAGACATTCTTGTGAAGACTAGATATTCAATTTAACGGATAATTTGTTGAATGAATAAGGTTCTCTACATTACTAATATTGAGGGTACGAATCGGATAATGGATTCAATTTAAACTTCTTGCTGTTTGAAGTTGAAATTCTAATTGATCATCTGATTTGAGCTGCATATGTTTCTTTGAACTTTTTTCTTTAAAAATGATGTGGTTCTTTTTTTTCCTTATGTTTTTTGTTAGATCGTGTTTCTTTAGTATTCTCTTAATATAATGTTGTAACTTGTTAACTTGGACTCCATATCTAAATACATTTTATAAACATTAGAGCTTTATTATGTTACTGTTTTCCTTTAATCATTCCAGGTCTAAACATTGTAGCTTGTTGGCTTTATCCTATAATCATTCTGTTTCTATTGCTGTCTTCCTTTTTTTTTCTTAGTGCATGAACTTATACAATCTTGGTTTCCTCAGGCATATGCTTGGTGAGACAACTTGTCTGTTTGGTTTTTGATGAAGCTCATCGAGCTATGGGAAACTATTCTTACTGTGTTGCAGTTCGAGAGGCATGTGTATTTATTCCCCTCATTACAATTTCTTACGATTTAGGCTTTTGTTTGGGACGGCTTTCTTACTGTTTCCTTAAGCAGCTTTTTAGTACAAAAATTAAAATTTTTGTATTAAAAACACTTTAAGAAGCAGCAAGAAAGCCGTCCCAAAAGAAACCTTAATTAGTATCCCTAACTAATAGTTCACTCATGGATCTACTAGTATGCTGACTGTGAATGCCTTTAATTTGTTGTTCCCTTTTTTTGTGGATGTAGTTGATGGCAATGCCTGTGCAACTAAGAATATTAGCTTTGACTGCAACTCCAGGATGTAAGTCTAGTGTTTATGCTACTAAATTACATTTTCCACTGTTCAGTTTCTCTTTTTCATAAGAAATGTTTTATGTAATCTGGTTACTCAGCAAAGCACCAGACAATTCAGAAAGTCATTGATAACCTATGCATTTCAACCCTAGAGTATCGCCATGAAAGTGATCGTGATGTAAGTCCATATGTGCACAGCAGGAAACTTGAATTAATAGAGGTAAGTGCTGAAATAAATTCTTTTACCTGTAAAATTTCATATTTTCTTTCTAGTCACATAGTAATTCTGTTAATAATAACTTCAGGTCCCAATGGGCAAGGATGCTATTGGAATCAATAGTATTCTTTTACAGGCTATACAGCCATTTGTTGCTCGCCTTAGGGACATTGTAGCACTTCCTCAGAGGGACTTCTCAACCGTATGTTCTGACATGTTTGTTGTCTTCTTCCAAATGCTTGTTACGTTTAGTTGAATTTGGATTATTTTCTTGTGGATTGTACTATAATCTCTTGATGGATGTTTTAGGGTCTAGAATTTCTAATGAAGATCTATATTTAATTCTATGATAATTTAATGAGATGCAAATATAACATTGAAATTTCCACTTAGGAAGCAAGATGTCCCTCATAATTATATTTTATTAGCGACGCATGATAGGAAAATAAATGAAACCCAAGTTTCAGTGAAAGGATTTTTGTCTCCTAATAGGAGTTAAGAATGAGGATTATATATCATAAAAACAACATAATCAATTATGATTTCATATTAATAAAAGAAACAAGTTTAATAGATCTGAATGAAAATAATTCTCCCTTGTTAACCACAAAATAATGAAAGTAAGAAATGAGAAGAATGCATAATAGGAAAAGAGATCAATTAGAAAGGCCCACGCTTTAAAAAGGATAGACTCTCTCCCTATAGGATTTTAGGTCAGACACATGATCAGGGATCCCCATGCAAAGCAGATGGTCTTCACATCCAAAATTAAATTTTATTCATGCCATTGATTGATTTTACATGCCTCAAAAGGCATCTATTTATTGGCAACCATTGAGTAGACACCCATGGATAAGGAGCCCCGGATAAGAGACACAAATTGTATTAAATAATCTGTGAATCATACAGATTCCCAAAGCATGTATGAATGTGTTATGCCCGGTTCCTTTGAACTTGACCCAACAGGAGAGCTGGGCGGTTCTAGTGAAGGGGGTTCGGCGCCCTTGTGGGGCCCAATAATAATTTAATTCAATATATTAGAAAGAGAAATAGATGGAGAGATTTAGGAAGGTTTTAATGATAACTGAGAGAATTATTTAGGGAAGAGCTCAAAATTGAGAGGGAATTAATTAAGAAAAGAGGGCTGATTTGGGAGAGAAGGGAGCCTATTTATTGCTAACTATGTATTATTTTCAAATTGTACAATTGTTATTTCTGCCGTAGCTTTTCTTTTAGAGTTCCCTATCGGTGTCTAGGGTTTGTGGGAGAGATGATCTACCTCTCGAATAGCAAATCAATTGTATCTTTTATTATTGTTTAAGTATTAATCAAAATCAACCATAATATTTGTGTTCTAGCCATTTCTTATTCTATATTTTGCTATTTTCATTTCCAAATCGAATTAAATTGGTATCAGAGTGTTTTTTTTTTTGAGACAATGACAACAAAGAAGGTGGATACGTTGGAAGGCAGGATGGAGCAATTCATATCCGACGTCTCAGCCATGGAAGGAAGGTTTTAATCCATGAAAAATCGTTTAGGTGGGGTGGAGGAGATGTTAAGGAAGCTCTTAGAGATGTAAACAAAAACTTCACCGGGGGTTCCAATTGCTAACCCTAATTTAGAATCGATTGGGATTCTCTTGAGCGCAACTATGGGGAAAGAGGTCAGTCGGGAAGAGTTCGAAGAGAAAAGCTTCTTTCATCAAGAACCACTGTCTAGGGCTCCAATAAGAGGTGAATCAGGAGTTTTAGATAGAAGGGCAGCAAGAAAGGAGTTTTATGGCGGGGTGGTGGAGTGACTGACTACTACGGAAGGCCACTTAGGCAAGGGGAATGGGCAACCAGAGAAGAAGGTGGATGAACCTAGCCATGGGGATCAGATCATAGGAGGCTTATGGAAGAAAGGCGGGATTCCCACCCTTGTTTCACAGGGGGAACCAGTGGCAGAAGAGGAAGTTGGGGTGGAGAAGCAAAGGTGAGGAAGCTGAAGATGTCAGTGTTTGAAGGGAAGGATGCTCATGGGCGGGTATATCAGGTGGTGAGATATTTTACGGTGAATGGGTTTAGAGATGGTCATAGGGTTATGTCTGGAGGGAAAAAACTCGCTTGGGTCTAGTGGAGAGAGGCTAGATATCTGATCCATTCATGGGAAGAATTTAAGGATTACTTGTTGGAACTTTTCCAAGCCATTCAGGAAGGAGACTTATTCGAGCAATTCCTTGCATTGACTCAAGAGGGGACTTTCATGGAGTATAGGGAAAGATTCGAGTTGTTGTCAGGAAGGCTGAGGGGAATTTTGGAGGCAATTTTAGAGGAAATTTTCATGAAGGGCCTCAAGCTTGACACACTAGCGAACCTTCGAGTGCTGAGGCCGAGGGGGTTGAAGGAGATTATGGAGCTAGTACAAATAGTAGAGGATCAGAGACAGATGGAGAGAAGTAGTGAGAGTGGGGTTGCGGGAGGCTCTTACAGAAGTACCGCAACTTCATTCGCATCGAGGACCAAGACAATATCATTTCAGCGGGAGGCACGAAGGGATAAGAGTTTGGGGGGGGGGGGTTCACCCCGAGGCCAACTTTAAGCATCTCACAGAGGCGGAGGTGCAGGACAACAGAGCAAAAGGTCTGTGCTTTTGTTGTGATGAGAAGTATGCACCATCCAATCGGTAGGTCCTTTTGGTTTGTGAGGAGGATGAGACTAACAGTGAGGACCTGAAGGAAGCGAAAGAAGGGAGAGATCACATACACTTTGAAGAGAGCACTACAGTAAATTATGTGGTGGGATTTACTCCAAATTACACCATGAAGGTGAGGGGACAGATTGAGGAGCAACCAGTGGTGGTCTTAGTGGATATAAGGATCTTAGGAGTCATGATGGGAACAAGAAAGGTAGAGAAGAATAGGGGGATTTGCAGGTGGTTGGTGCTGACACTCCAGGGCATAAATATAATGAAGGATTTTCTTCCCTTGGATTTGGGAGCACTGATGTGATCTTATGGATGAAGTGGTTACAGATTATCGGGGAGATCAAGGTGGACTGGAAGTCCTTGATTATAGAGATTCAGATGGAGGGGAAGAAGGTGATGCTACGAGGGGATGTCAGCCTATGCAAAATTATGATTTCACTCAAAATCATGGTCAAGACAATATAAGGAGCAGGGCTGGGATACCTGGTACAACTGCAGAGTTGGGAAGTGATCTAAGATCTAGAGGCAGATAAGGTTCCATAGTGTGTACATCAGCTTCTGCAACAGTTTCTTGGGGGTTTTTAGCAGCCTAGCGAATTATCGTCACCCTGGGAGCACGAGCATGATATTACCTTGAAGAAGGGAGCTTCCTCTATCAGTGTTCGAGTGTACCAGTACACACAGATTTAGAAGGATGAGATAAAGAAATTCATCAGAAAGATTTGGAGGCAGGGATTATCAGGTCCAGTGTGAGCCCCTTTTCATCTCCAATTTTATTAGGGAAAAAGGATGGCAATTGGAGATTTTGTGTGTATTATAGGGCCCTGAACAAGGAAATGATGTTGGACAGGTTTCCTATCCCTGTAATTGATGAGTTCTTGGATGAGCTGTTTGGAGCGATCATTTTTTTAAAGATTGACCTGAAGTCAGGATACCACCAGATCATAATGAAGACTAAGGATGTACACCAGATAGCTTTCAGGACTAATGAGGGTCACTACGAGTTCTTGGTGATGTCTTTTGGTCTTACCAACGCCCCAACCACTTTTCAGCCCCTAATGAACCTGGTTTTCCAACCCTTAGAAAGTTCGTCTTGGTATTTTTGGATGACATCTTGATCTACAGTTGTATGAAGACAGAGCATGTGGATCGCCTGAGGTCTATATTGGAGACTTTGAGGGAGCACCAACTGTATGCTAACATGCAGAAATGTTATTTTGCACAGTCGCAGGTGGAATTAGGGCATATGGTAAGCAGAGCAAGGGTAGCGACAGGCCAATCCAAGATTGAGGCTATATTGGACTAACTTTTACCTAAGAACCTGAAGGCATTGAGAGGATTCTCAGGCCTCACCAAATATTATCGGAAGTTTGTGCGAGGGTATGACACAATAGCATGGCATCCTGACGGAGCAGCTAAAGAAGGACAGTTTCAATTGGGGGGAAACAGTGACACAGGCCTTCAAGCAGTTGAAGAAGATCATGACCAGCGTGCCAACGTTAGCACTTTCAAACTTCAGCAAACCATTGTGGTGGAGATAGATGCATCTGGATACCAACTAGGGGCATTGCTTATGTAGGATCATCGACTCATTGCTTATTTCAGTTAGATGCTCACTGCTAGAGCGAGGCTCAATTTCGTATGTGAGTGAGACTTAATGACAATTTTCTTGTCCATTCAAAAGTGGCGACCTTATTTGTTGGGGCGACATTTTGTCGTCAAGATAGACCAGAGGAGCCTGAAGTTTCTACTGGAGCAAAGGATAGTGACTATGGAACATTAGAGGTGGTTGTCAAAGTTGTTGGGATATAGTTTCGAGATTCAATATCACCCGGGACTGGAGAACAAGGCCGCAGATGCACTATCTCGGAAGACGGACAAGCCACACTTGACAGTTCTATCAGTACCTATGGTCTTAGATTGGGGAGCCCTGAGACAGGAGAGTGAACAAGATGGGGGTTTAAGGAAGATCAGAGCTAATTTGTTGCAGCACCTGGCCAGTCATCTTGGTTACATACTGATGGGCGCCCAACTACTACATCAGGGGTGATTCATTTTACCGAGGGTTCAGGATATATCCTTAAGCTATTGCAGGAGTTTCATGACAGTGCAGTGGGATGACATTAGGAGCTCAGAAAACCTGCAGTCGGCTTTCAACAAAATTAAACTGGGTGGGGATGTGCTTCAATTTGGAGGATTGGGTAGCGAGATGTGATGTGTGTCAGAGGCACATGTATTTAGCCATGATGCTAGCAGGGTTACTACAGCCTCTAGCTCTGCTAAAAAAGGTGTGGGAGGAAGTGACGATGGATTTTATCGAAGGGTTTCCTCTTTCGGAGGGGTTATCAGTTATTTCGATAAATGTGGATCATCTGAGCAAATATGCACACTTCATTCCTCTGAAGCACCATTGCACTATGATATCTGTGGCTACTGCTTTCATATGAGCAGTGGTGCGCTTGCATGAATTTTCAGAATCCATTGTGTCAAACAGAGACAAGGTGTTCCTTAGCCGTTAATGGAAGGAGTTGTCAATCCTAAAGAGGAGCACGACATACCATCCCCAGACGGATGGCCAAACAAAGGTAGTAAACATAAGTGTAGAGACCTATTTGAGATGCTTCATATCAAATCTGCTGAAGAATTGGGCAAAGTGGATCACTTAGGCCAAATATTGGTACAACACCTCGTACTATTCTGCTGCACTGACCACCCCCTCAAGATTTTCTATGGGATAGACCCACCTCATTTAATTTATTATGAACACAACACTTCACTAGTATCCAGTGTAGCCCAGTACTTAGAGGAAAGGGATGGGGTATTATTTGAGCTCTAGGAACATTTATTGAGAGCCCAACAGATCATGAAAAGAAAGGCGGATGAGCACAGGAGAGAAGTACACTTCGAGCTAGGAGATATGATTTATTTAAAGTTGAGGCCCTACAGACAGAAGATACTAGCAAGGAGAAGGAATGAGAAATTGTCCCTACGATACTTCGGACCTTTGAGATTGTGGAGCGCATTGGAGCAGTGACTTATCGATTGAGGCCACCACCTTCATCAACATTGCATCTCGTCTTTCATGTCTCGTAGCTGAGGAAGGCGATAGGAGATTACACATCATCTTCACTATCCTCGACTTTGGCAGAAGACATGGAGGTCATTTTGAAACCTCTAGGTGTAGAAGGTGTGTGCAGAGAAAAAACAGGGGCAGAAGAAGTATTAATCAAGTGGAAGGATTTGCCAGAGCATGATGCTACATGGGAGTCGATTATGAGACAGTTCCATCATTCCACCTTGAGGACAAGGTGTGTCTTTGGGGGGCGAGTATTGTTACGCCCGGTTCCTCTGAATCGGACCCAACAGGAGAGCTGGACGGTTCTAGTGAGGAGGGTTCGGTCCCCCTTGTGTGGCCCAAGAAAAATTTAATTCAATATATTAGAAACTAGAAAGAGAAATAGAGGGAGAGATTTAGGAAGGTTTTAATGATAATTGGGAGGGAATTATTTAGGGAAAGAGTTCAAAATTGAGAGTGAATAAATTAAGGAAAGGAGGCTAACTTGGGAGGGAAGTAGGGGAGCCTATTTAGGGCTAACTATGTATTATTTTTAGATTATGCCATTGTTATTTCTGCTATAGCTTTTCTTTGAAAATTTCCTAGCGGCATCTAGGGTTTGTGGGAGAGTCGATCTACCTCTTGAATAGTAGATCAATTGTATCTTTTATTATTGTTAAAGTATTAATCAAAATCAGCCATAATATTTGTGTTATGGCAATTTCTTCTTCTCTATTTTGATGTTTCACTTCCAAATCGCATCAGAACGCAAGACCATGATAAAGCCAGACACCTCAAAATCCTGTAAAGCAGAACTGAGAAGCAATGATTTCTCTCCCATTATAATAGGAAAGCCATTAAGCAGAGCAAGCCATGTACATATGTAAAGCCCGCTGGTCAGAAATCCGTGAAACAGAGCTGACCATAATCCCAGAGCCCGTAGATATAGGAAATCCAAGAAACAGAGCTTGTGTCAATTTAAAGCCCATAGGAGTAGGAGCTTGGCGAAATCATATGAAGAAGCACATAACTGTAGGAATAGGATTGGAATAGGAAAGCTCCACATTACTCTGCATGAACTCTTCTTTTAGACATGAAAATCTAAGTTAGCAGGAAAATATTGTTTAGAACGAGGTGGGATTCATGGAGAAAAAAATGACGTGAAATAGATTTAAGATGATATTTGCATGTTAACCTTGTGAAACAGAGTCACATTGTAATATTCATATGAATCTTTTTTTTTGTTATCAATTTATTTAGATTTATTGTCTGTATGTTTTTGAGGGTTAGATGGGTGGGTGTTGGGGCCAAAAGTGACATGCATGAAAACCTTTAGAAATGTATCCTAGGGGAAAGTAAATCATACCAATTGCCTGACAGGCTGACACTGATCTTTACTGTTTGGGATAAACTATTCTGATAATGCCGTCTTTTGTTATTTTGTATGCTTTATAACTTTGGTCCTTGTAATGTTTGATCTTATAGCAATATAACATTTGTGCAAGGTTGGAATAGGCTTGCTGGTTATAATTTGTTTATTTATTTATTAATCATATTGTCTTTGATCACAAACAGTTGAGTCCATCTGAATTACTCAATTTAAGGGACAAATTTCGTCAAGCACCGCCACATAATTTGCCTACTTCGAGGCATGGAGAAATAGAGGCAAATTTCTGCGCTCTTATCACCTTTTATCACATAAGGAAGTTACTTTCAAGCCATGGTATAAGGCCAGCTTATGAGATGCTCCAGGAGAAGTTGAAAAAAGGGTATGTGCATGCATTTTCTGTACTCATGCTTTATTGACTAATATTCTTTTTATATTTTTTGAGTAAGAATGGGTTTGCTTTAGTTTGTGCGGCATGCTAAAATGGTTTTTGCATATTTTTAAGTTTTTTGTCTCAATTTTCTTTTCTTTATCAAGTCATTGTCTCTAATAATTATTGGCATGCCTTCACCTTTTGGGCTTTACTATAATTGTACAAGCTATTCTATTTGTCTTAGACAAAATTCTTTATAAGCGATTTTCTCATATCCATCTTCTAAACTATTAATGAATAGAAAACTGGTGCTTGTGTAGCTTGATGTCTTGTTTACTTGAGAGAAGTTGAAAGTCCTGCATTGAATTGTACACATTCAATCAGCGTTTTCTCTTGATTTTTTTTGAAAAATTACGTAAATTTAATTAAATCAAATATTTCAATGACATTAAGTTTTCTTCCTTGTTTGTTTCTGTCATTCTAGTAAAGTTTTATGTTATTTGGAATAATCAAGACCTGTTCTTGAAACTAGAATTTTTTAATTATGAATTTATTTACCGATGTATTTTTATTTGCAAACTCTAATTTCTCTTGATTCTCTGAGCTCCAAATTATCACTTTGGTTCAAATTTAACTATACATGTCAAGAGGAATACGTGTTGCAGGTCATTTTCCAAGCTTGTTTCTAAGATTGAGGCTTTTTGGAAAGCAAAGCTCTTGATGGAACAAAGCTTGTCTCATGGTGCTCCAACTCCCAAAATGGTTAAATTGTTGGAAATTTTGGTTGATCATTTCAGTATGTCTTTAGCCTTAATCTGATTTAAGTATCTGCAATACCTGCATCTGTTTTTTAAAGCATTTACTTCAATGCAGTTATTATTTCCAGCTTGCATCATCAAAATGAAAATGCCTAAAAATGTTTCAGTGAAAAAACTTAGTCATCATTATTGGCATTAATCTTATCCCAACTTCTAGGAGTGGGCTATGCTTTTTATGGTAGAACTTTTAACCATTTATCTACTACTCTGTTTTCTATTCATTTCACATCAATATACCTTCCCACCTTACAGATGGATCTTTGCTCCTCATCATACATCAGTTATTGTCAACAACCTTTTGATGAGGACATCCACCATACATTTCGACATCGGCGGGATCGTAGATCGACGGCTACAATTTATAGTCTTTATTGATGATGTTTTAGTGCATTTCTTTTATTTTTTTTTCAGATTTTCATTTGTACCCCTATGTGGGATTTATGTCATGTTGTAGCCTGAGGGCATTTGTGTCTTTTACATTTTGTGTTTTGGAGACCTATATATGAAGGACTAGTCTTTGTATTATTTTTCAATGATGCTTAAGAATGAAAATTTCCCCTTTCTTACATGATCTCTTGGTGAGTTCTTGAGAAGAGCAACCCCAAGTGGGTGATTGCAATACCCGTCAATCTTGGTGAATTCCAAGGTTCGCGGTTCCTCGGTTCTTCCCTCCCCCTCCATCCCCACCCCCTTCTCTTGCTCATCCTGCCGACAACACCATCTTCACCCTCTTCTCCTCTCCAAAACAGCCCATACCCAACCCGCCGACCCTTCCCTTGGCCGCCCAAGTCGCCAACCACCAGTCCAGCCGCCAGCTAGCCCTCCCCTCTCCCCTCTCCCCCTCTTCATGCTTAACCCGCCGGCCCATAATCCCTAGTCCACCAAATTTGAATTTCGAATTTCGAATTTTGTCATAATTACTTTCCTAAATTACCTTCATGCTATTTAGGAAAGAATCCTTGTTGGCAATCAATCTATTTTGAATTTTAAAACCCCTTCCAAGAGAGCTAAACCCCATTTGGAAGTTATTCAATTTAAATCAAATCTGAAATTAAAATCAGATTTGATTACAATCACATTAATTTCCTTGGGGGCTCAATTATTAAACACAAACTCCCTCTCTCCCCTCTCTACATGGCGCCCCCCCCCCCCTCATGGCGCCCCCCCCCCCTCTCCCTCATGATTTCTCTCCAATCCAATTCAAATTCCAATTAATGCTCCCTTAATCCCCTCCTAAAACCGCCGGATCCCTAGCCCTAATTTGGGGATTTTGAATTCACATTAATTCTCCCTCCTTCCAATTCAAAATCTGAAATTAAAAATCAGATTTTTTTTCTTCCCAAAATATTTTCTCCACCTCACCAACCTTCATTAATTGGTATCTCATTAAGGATCCAATTAATTAAGATCCCAAACCTATTTCCCTCCTAATCCTCCCAATTTCAAATTTCAAAATTTGAAATTCCCTAACACCCAATTAAACAAAATTTGAGAGAAATTTCAGATTTTGTTCTTTTTCCTCTCCCACCATCCTAGACCTAATTTACCCCCACGCCTTCTCCTCCGTGGCCGACTTCCCTCTATCCCCTCCTAACTGCCAACATCTTTCAGTGGCGTCACTGGGTTTGCTAACCTTCATCCTCCGCTAACCCTACTAATAAGGAGTGATCGAGAGAGAAACTCGAAAGTGAAAGTTCTATTTGTTAAGTGCCAGATTATTGTTAATTGCATATTTGTCTTGCTATCGCCTTGTTATTATCTTGAATCGCTCTATAAATCTACCGTGTAACTGCATGCTAGAAGCAAGTCAATAACTACGAAATCTAAAATCCTAACTTAGTGAAACATTAATCTTATAAACTCATTGCTAAAACAAATTTCTTGATAATCTCAAATGCAATTTCGTTGTTTGTTTCACATCACCTTTGTGTTACAACCAATGTCCTTTAGTATAATCATTTATGACCCTTGCATCTTAGCTTGCCTTATTGCTATTTTAAGTATGGTGACAACATGTTGTCTTGAAATCTTGAACTTTGTAGATGTGTAAGAAGTATGTATTAATTACCAATCCTAATTTGAGTGGTAGAATTTTACTGAATGATTAGTTGTTATAATAACGTAATAAATAGTGATTTGAAGGTGTAAAGAGATGTTTAGAGGGATGCAACACTTTCTAGCAATAAGAAAGGGGGAACTACTAACAATAATGGTAGGTGATAGAGAAAACATGTGAAGAGATGAGAATGTATGGTGTATCTATCATATGAAATGGTGCACGTGAGCATATCCAAAGAATAGACAACCTAAGAGATAGACAAATGTATGTCATTGTTGAATTAGTCAATCATAATCTTTCTACGACATAATAATCTATTCATAAGAGGCACCTGTTGAGTAGGAAGAGTCATATTGAATGTCAAAACATGCTGCAGTGGAGCGATAATTGAATTTCTCCCAAAATTTATAGGATGATTAGTGCTACTATAATGAGGGCAAGGGGAAAATATATTTTGGCCTTGGTCGCAACCACAACCACCATTTGTCTTACCACCTCAATTGTGATTGCCCCTACCATCTCTAGAGTTAGTCGCCAAAAATGATTAATCAATATTGTATGATTTAGGGGTGGGAGTTCTGTGATAGGAAGAATTTGGAAAAGAGAGATTTCAATATTAGGTATTGTGGAGTCGGCCATTAATTAAGATTATACACCTTGTACCAAATGATGCATGTCAGGTATATATTTGGCAGACTTGAACTCTTTGATTTTCTTCTACAAGATAGTCAGGTTTGTTATGAAAGGATAATATTGGAGTGACTTGTACCATTAGTCACTTAGGGTGGTGTTGTAATTTTGGATTTGCATACAAGCTTATTGGAGAGGAGAGCTTAGAGTAAAGATTGTAGGCATGAAAAATATTACTCTTTTAGAAGGGCTTGGAGTGAAAAGTGCCACTTCTTAGTTAATCTAGTTAGGTGAAGATGACGTAATCAAACACTTGCCATTTAGAAAATTTGTTGGTGTAACTTTCGTTCTAAGGCGATACGTTAATATAATGTAGTTTGTTGTGAGAAATAACAAGAAATCGAAAGGCCCTTGATCGTAGTAGATGCTTGGTATCAATTTTAATAAGGTTTGCATCTCAGTTTGTGGAGACACAAAAGCTATGACACTGATATATGTATATAATCATAGAGGTACCCAAATCATGCTAGAAAGTTGAAGTATAAAATAGGGGAATAGAATTCCATACAATGAGTAAGGAGCCAACAATTAGGAATTAGTGAGCATGCACTTCTTGAACTTGAACATTTATAGGCATTGGTGGGTGGGGATGTGGCAGGTCACATGTGGGCTATATGTTGTGTGTAGGATGTGTTGCATGAAACACTGTTGTGGGTGATATTGGGTGTGTGAGTAGGGGATGAGAGGTTTTGCAAGGACGGAGGGGTTTTGAGGTGATGGTGGTGATGTGAATAGGATTACTATGATTTAGTTGTGTAGCTCTACTATCATGTTGTTGAAAACTCTTGTAAAATGTTATTTACGGAATAAAGACGCCTATTTATAGCATACATTGTGAAAATAATAAGAAACAAATAAGAGAGAATAAAAACAAGAATGAAGATATAAATGCATGTTCCCTCATGATAGATGATTTCATAAGATAAAAATCTCCTGATAATTTATCAAATATGCATTATATGTCAACATAGGAGGATTTGGGGTTTTATATATGAATTTTATTAATCTTTCAAATTAGAAAAATCCCTGTACTTCTAAAAGGATTGCAGTCTAACTCTCTTTTTTTCTCTCTCTTGACGTATTTATATATATAAAAGAAAAATAATTAAATTTTAAATATCATTTAATATTACCCAATTGATAATTTTTTTAGATAGCTTAGATGATTATAAACCTTAATATTTTTTACTTTCATGTAATTTAATATTAATATTTTTTTAATGTCTCATGACAATATAAGAAGGTATGATGTTAAAAGAAATAGGATTGTTTAAATAAAACTATAATTTTAATAAATATAAAATAAAATAACTATGTGGCTTGAAACTCTTGCATATATTTTAAAATGCATATGGTGAACATTTAATTTTTATGTATTCTTACTAGTAAAGAAAAATGGTGGGGAGAGGTTTGGTTGATTGGGGAGAGGGTTTAGGATTCAGTCACAAAGTACGTAAGAAAATGATGTAGACACACAAGAAGAAAACTGACACAATGAGTAGAACTTAAAACAAACTTTATTAAATAAAAGCAAACGACCCAAAACTTGACAAACACAATAAAAGATGCTAGGAGATTTTAAAGAAATAAAGAAATTTAAAAATACGATATCCTCAGACAACCGTCAGAGCGGGTTCCTCACATGCATCGAATTTGTAGGTTAAATAAGTAAAGTGCATAGAACTAGCAAACCGATGGTCCACCACTGCAAGACTGTCCCAAATGCTTCCAAATCAACCAAGACACGACACCCTAAAGTTGCTTCACTGTTGAGAAGAAGGATACAGATGGAGTGGCACTTGCGGAGAGACGAAGAGGTTAGAAGCCCGAGAAGAAAGGGTGGAAAGAGCCCGCAGGATTTCCGGAGGGGATGAGAAAAGAAGGGTGGAAAGAGCCCGCAGGATTTCCGGAGGGGATGAGAAAAGAAGGTTGGAAAGAGCCCGCAGGATTTCCGAATAAACCCGCAGGTTAATAGCAAATATGCTCACAAATATCAACTCTCTTTTCTTCACAACATCTTCTCATATTTATAGGCAAGAGAGAGGAATGCCAAGAGTCACATGACTTTAATTTCCATAAGAACCAAAGCATTATAAGCATAGAAATCTTCCCCCCATGCTCACGGATAATCACCCAAACCAGGAACCAAAGAGGCAGTCA